GGAGCCAATAACAACTCTCAGTAAAAACCGAACTTAATGAAGTGTGGAAGAACACGATTAACCAAGACGCGATAGGTTTAATTCTGATTGGTCCAGAGAATGGCGCGAATTTTCTAGACCAATCGCAGCGTGAAGTCAAGACGAATGCAACCTGGATTTCAGGTTGCTTTTAATCTTTTCTTCGTTCACGGCAATATATCTTTATTATTTCTTTTGAAATTTAGTTGGAGCACGACAATGACACACCTGTCAAATACATCATCACAACCTGCATGGATCCATGGGCCACGTCCACAGAATTCTTAGACGACATGGGTGACATTTTGAGGAATACAATCCTTAACGCAATTGGAGCGGTGAGGAAGTATCATATCTTGTTTCTTGGGTGGGAGCGGGAATGGAAACGCTTTTTGTCAGTTAAGTTAGCTCTTGTCCTTATCTTTAATACCTCTTTTTCAGTGCACCGATGCCAAAGTTCTCCACAACTTTGTCACCACAGGAGTTGTCAATCAGGAGAACGAAGTGATCGCATCTTACATCGGAGACTTCAACAATGTTTCCAAGCAGTATGACAACGTGGTGAAACTGAAGTTCCTCCACGACAAAGACGCCGAAAAGTATATTTCCATGCAAGAAAAACTGCTTAAGGCCAGCAGTGAGCCTCAGCCAATTGTGTTTAGAAGCAAAAGACAAAGGTTCCACGAAATCTTCTTTGAAGAGTCCGAGTACGCTGGTGAAAAGGAAAAGTTCGATTGCTTCGTTGGTATGCCTTCTGATCATGACAAGAATCCATTCATGTCTGTAAAGATGAAGATCATTGATGTTCCACGTTACGAGCACTTTGACAAGGGCGATTACCAAGATCACGGTAACTACTTCATGTATGGCGACAAGAAGAGTGTGTTCCTGTTTCACATTCCGACCAAAAGTCCAGATTTCTTTCAGGTAAATGACTTTTTTGGTTTAGCTAACTAAAGAAAGTCTCATATACAGACAATTTCTTCTCAGAGATTAAAATTTACATGGTAACCGCTACAAGAAAGTGTTTTATCAACATTTCTGACAACCACCGTCATCAACTTCACGTAAGAAAAGGAGCTCAGCTAAATTTAATTGATTAGGGGGGTATGGTTTCAAATTTCCCCACCTCAACGTGGAGTGGCTTTCGCGCGGGCTCATATATTCACGCAGGGGGAGGAGACAAACCGGAAAATTACAGAGTGTCTAACATCGGAAAAGGTTTAGGATTCTTGTTTTTTCACCACTTGAATCACTACCTTACAGGGGAGAGGGGTAAGATGCTCACCCCTGGCCTCCCTGGTTACGACCCTGCACAAGAGTTTTTGTTCACTAAATGAGTCCGCATACAGCCAAATGCCATTTTCCTACTCCTTTAACAGCATGTTATTTATTCCACATTTTTTTTCTGCCAAGTGACGTTTTTCCATTTATGCCTCTGGTTTAAGATGATCTTCGTGATAGTGCACTGTCTTACCCCAGGACACAATTTTTTGAAGATAATTCTCTCCGTTCAATCTTAAAAGGTGGTTCAGCTTGATGGCGTCCCTGATCATGTTGGCACGGAGAAGGTGGTGGACTTGTTGCTCAGATATGGAACCGAGGTGGAGATTCCGAGCATCTCTGGTTCACCAAAGATCGAGCGTGGAGAGGTTCAAGACCCCTTGACCAAGAACAAGTTCGACATCTCCTTCGTGGGAATCGATGGTGCGGAAGTCGCGTCCGAAGTGAAAATAGCAAGGAAAATCTGGTTTTCTGGAACTACCGTGTAATGGTCAGACGTTAAATGGGACTTCGTATGGTTCACAGACTGTGAAATTTCCTCAAATTTTATCTTTGTAGACACGAAAGTCCTTTTGTAAAAGTTCACTTTTCTTTGTGAGGTATCCCTGCTGATGTGTAAATTCAGTTTTGCAAAAGTCTCCGATCTACCACTCACTGACCAAACTGGGTGGCGATAAGGTAATACTTAAACGTTCGGTATAAGTATTCCCTGCCACCATAATGTAAGAGT